AAATATTTCGGTAGTTCAATGTCTGGCACACGTCTGATCTGGATGCCATCAGGCACAAATCTTTGGCACAAAGGTGTATGATCAATACGTGCATTTATCAATCTTCTTCTAGGAAGGAAATACTGTCCATAGTTTGGATCAGTAGGACACGAACCCCAAAAGTAGATGGAGTCGCGAGAATTTTCATAAATCTCAAGCTCCTCCTCCTCTGGAATTGCATTGTTAATTCTTTATCCCTAGTGCTGAGTAAAGTATGAATGTAATTTCTTATTCGTGTAATGGGTACAGCTTGGGTTGAGATGTATGGGAGTATAAAACTTCCCTTTCGTACGATGTATTAAACATTCATAACAACATTATCATGTCATGCTTGGTGTTCCAAGCATCATAAACGCGAACGGAATAAATTAATCAAGGATTTAATGGAATTTGGCGCCAAAAAGGGAACCAGAATTACTATATTGTCCGGTGATGTACATTTATGTTGTATTGGTAGAATGAAGTCCAAGTATCATCATCACCCCAAAGCCCATTTTTTGCAAGGAGTTAAAGAAGTTGAGAAATTGAATAAGNTATCTTCAGCCATAGTCAATGCACCTCCACCCGATGCCATGGCTACATTGTTGAATAAGAGGAGTGGCGCCCACCATTTCATTCAAGATACTGATGAGGACGTTGTACCTATTTTCGTCAAGGATGTTGATGGGTCACAAAGAAACAACCATCAATTTTTAAACAAGAGGAATTGGTCGGACTTGATACTAGCCAAACAATCAATCAAGTATAAAGCGCTAGTGGAGACAGAATCGGACCCTTCATCGGTGGTTAGAAAATTCCCTCAGCCAGTGTTTGACGATGAACAGGATACACAAGAAGGCGATTTCTTGCATAACCAACATGAAAATGATCGGTTTATCAAGTATCCATTATACAACGATTCAGTCGTGACTTCATTAAGAGTTGAGAAGGATCCTAGTGATTTGGGTAGTGAATCGGCTGCTTATGAAGTGATCATACCTCCGTTGATTGGTAATTATAAGTTAGGTAGAGCTGCTGTTAAACACGTTGATGCATAAGTGGCTCTTGTTGGTTGACAGTTTTATCTATTTATTTATTTATTTATTTGATTTATTTAATTTGAT